CTGTTCCATCTCTGGTAAGGGCCCCATATTGCATCAGAATATGGTAAATGAACAGGAAAGGGCCATGTGTGGAAGAATTCACATGGGGAGACAGGAAGTCAGAGAGGCCATGCTTACTTGTATATTTGTGTGCAGTTGTGTGCCTGCCCAGGCATGCATGTGGAGGTAAGACGACAACCTCAAGTGTCAGTCCACATCTCCCACCTTATTTAAGATAAGGTCTTAGTTTTCTACTACATAAGTCATGTTGTCTGTCCTCCAGATTCTCCTGTCTTGACCTCCTCTCTCCTGGTAGTGGGCATACTGAGGTCACAGGAACTTGGGCTGCCATGCCTTTATTTTTATGTGGTTCTAGGAATCCAAATTCAGGTCATTAGGCTTTGTATGACAAGTGCTTTACCCACTAAGCTATCTCCCAGGCCCTAAACTCACTCTTCTATAACAAATCACTCTCAAGAACACAACAGGGGATGAAGAGATGGTTCAGCAGTTAAGAGTGCTCTTAATCTCTTGTAGAGAATGGGAGTTTGATCCCAGCACCCACAACCAGAGGCCCTATACTGCCTATACTTCCAATTTGAGAGGATCTGATGCCTTCTTCTGACCTCCACTGGCACTGCACTCAAATCTCTCTCTCTCTCTCTCTGACACACATAATTAAAAGTAAAACTAAATCTTTGAAAAAAAAAGAACTAGCCAGGATCCCATAAAATCTACATTAATTACTTCCAAGAGCAATGCCCCACAAACGATCTGTCCATTGTTGTGCCCAGAGAACGGACCCCCAAGAATAACCACGGAATCCAGAGGGCATGCAAGAACAAAGAGTCTTTATTTGGGCTTAAGCTCGGCCTCTCAGACCTCACCAGCGCAATGGATCTGTGCTGAGAGCCCCAATTGCAGGGGGTGGAAGCTTTTTACAGGTTCCAGGCAAAGAATGACAGAGTTACATCTTGATTGGTTCAAAGAGCCTGAGCGCGCCAACACACTTTTGAATTGGTTGGCTACTAGGGATCCATCCTTGGAGGTCTCTCACTGGTGGGTGCTATCCTCAGAGCTGTGGAATGTGCTGTTATCTGTGGGGCCAGAAGTCTCTGTTCCTTCTTTATAAGGCTGTTATATGCCTGAGCTCCTAGGGTGGGGGTGGTAGGTGGGATTACAACATGCCTGGGTATGTTCAGGCTTGTCTGAAACAACTAGTCAAAATGGGGGCAATACAGTTTTATCCTTTCAGCCAAGCAATCAAGAAGTTTACAGAAGCAAAAAAGAGCAGTTAGTCCTAAAGAGGGGCAGGCGTCTCGGGAGTCCAGGGCAGAGGGGCCAAGGAAGTGGGCTTCACACCACCTTTCACTAGAATCCATTTCTACACTGCTACATTAATGACTAAACTTCCAACACAGGAGTCCATAGGGGACATACTGATAGGTAAAAAGTTGTCAGAGAACAAGCGAATGGAGGAGGAGGAGGCACCAGGACACAGATAAAACTCCATCAAAATAGGGTTTATTAGCAAAGGAACACATGGGACAGATTCCCTTCCAGGCAGGGAAAATATCTGCCTGGGTCTTAAGCTGGGGTCTTTTAAAAACGGAGGCTTCTGCTTTCTGCAGAGGCGGGAAGATGTAGTTTTTTTAAAAGTTGGGTGGGGGGGGAGTGGGAGAGGGGGACTGTTAAAACCTGTCCTCTTTAGAGATCAAAGGGGAAGCCTGCTGTGTTGGCCAAACAGCAGAGAAAAGTCTACTTCTCTTGACTTCAAAGACCAAGGTTCCCTTTTCTCAGGAGCATGAGAAGTCCTTGAGATCCTGTTGGTGAGGGGGCAGGGCTATCTGAACCTTAACATATACCATATCCACGCTACAGGAGATGCCAAAATCTCAGATTGATTTTTAGAAATCTTAACGAAAAGAGACCAAATCAAAGAATAATAGCAGTAACAAAGGCACGGGGTGGGGGTGGGGGACAGAAACTACCTAAAATATCAGAGGCACCCAAAGATAACCAGGGAGGTGGAGCACAGTGGTAGAGCTGCGCAGGGAAAGACTCACAAGGAGAGGAGCCACAGTCAGTGACAATGGTTATCATAGTATGAAAACATTGGTGCAGCAGTGGCAAGCGAAATGATCAGACTGGAGATAAATTCTTGAGGTGGAGCCAACAGGAGCTGCTGATGGATTGCTGTAACGTACATTATATTGGTTAAGTGTCACGGGCTACTTGAGCTCACTAAGAAGCTAGCTTTGGCACTGGGATTGCCCCTCTCCGTTTCAGATCCAAACATGTTTGTCTCCAAGTCTTCTCCAAGGCCCCTGGCCTGGTGATGAGTTAAACCTCCTTCTGTGAAAAGGAGGGAAGAGAACAGCAAAGTAGCCCAGGAGTAAAACATTATGACCTTGAGGACGGCTAGAAGGTAAACAATTCCCAACAGATCTATTGTTTATCCCAGGATCTGAGAAGCGCCTGCAGCCATAAAGACAAATGCGAAATTCAGCCATGGGAAGCTTAGTCAGGGAGAGAAAGCTCACTGGGGAACTCCAGCTGACGGTCTCAATCTCCCCAGTTTCTGCAGGATGTTTTTAAGCCCCTCATTTAATGTTACCTTTCTGCGGCTATTCTTCCAAGGTCTTTCACTTGGAAGCCCACCCAAAGGGAGACTCTGCTCTGCTCTATCAGAGAAATCCAGCCTTTTCTCTTGTTTCATTCCGTTTTTTGAAACAGGGTCTCCCTGTAGCCCCATCTGGCCTGGGATTAAAGGCATGTGCCACCACACCCAGCAGCTGGCTGCCTTAAAGGGGCTTCCCCAGTCAATTTCTGCTGGACATTTTTTGTTTGCTTTTAAGTCTACTCACATCACTTTTAATTATTTTTTCTTTGAATTTTATGAGTGCTTTACCTGCATGTATGTAAGTGCATTCGTGTCATATAATGACTGTGGAGGCCAGAAGAGGGCATCAGATCCCCTGCACTGGAGTTATAAACAGTTGTTAGCTGCCATGTGGGTCCTACCCAGGTCCTCTGCAGTAGTCAGTGCTCTTAACTATTGAGCCATCTCTCCATCCCAGAACTGTTTTAGCATGAACAGCTGGAGTATGCGCCAGGCCAACTCTCAGTAAAGGAACAATGCAGGAGAGAAAGAGTCAGGGAATTCATTGAAAGTGGCCTAGGCACCTGCTAGGATCAGGTGCCACCAAATGCTCAGATGACTGCTAGGAGACAGACAAGAGGATTTAGAGAACTATTTGAAAAGGGAGAAGTGTGGACAGTTGGCTTTAAGTTTTTCTTCAAACTCGGGCCTGCTTCCTCTAAGAAATACTGTAGTATCATGGGTGGAACACACAACCTTTCTCCTGACACAAAAACAGGAAATTCACCTGAGATGCAACTGTTCAGCTGAGGCATAACGTTTTCAGTTTCCCTTGCAGTAGACTTGACCTATGACACAGGCTCTTCCAGTTAAATGAAGTCAGCACGAACCCTGTGCTCCAAAGAAGCAAGAGGCAAGTGCAACAGAGAATTGACTCTTGCTGACTGCAGGAAAAGTGACATTCCCCAGGAACAGCAGACACAGGAGAGTCCCCCAGGGCCACCAAGTGTTTTTGCTTTATTTTTTTTTATTTTTGGTCCCCCCCCCCTTGTTTGCATGTGTTGCTGTTTTTTTAATTCTTATTTTTTGTTTCTTGTAGTGGTGCTAATGCTTGGGTTTTGGTTCTGGCTTCTTTTCTTTTTGGCTTGGGCATTTTACTTTTTCTATTTTGTTTTGTGACTGTCATCTCTGAGGTCACATTTTTATTTTTGTAGCTACGAATTCTGAGTGATGGGAAGTGGGGCTTGGTGGCCACAGTAGGGGAAGACCTCTGGAAGACATTTAAGCTTGTTCCCGAAGACCAAAAGGAGCCAGCCACAATGGACAGTAAAGCAAAATTCTATGCAGAGGGAATAAGTTCTAAACTTTGAAGTGGGAAAGAACTGGGAATGTCCTTAAAGCTGAGGAGTGTTCACAATACAGGAGTATTTTAGTCCTTTTAGTGTTTTTATAAATGGAATTGCATGATTTTTTTAAAGCATGTGGAGTATATATGTGTGCATATGTATATGGAAGCCAGGAAACAAACACGGGTGTTTGTCTTCAGCTGTCTCCCAGCATTGCTTTGAGGCAGGGTCTCTCACTGCTGGAGCTGGACAGTGTGCCTTAGGGAGCCTCACTCTTGCCTCCCCAGTGCTTGGATTGCAAACAGGCACCACCAAGCCTCTCTGACACATTTTCATATGGGTTCTGGGGATGGAACCCAGGCCCTATGCTTGCAAGACAAGCACTTTACTGACAGCCATCTCCCAGCCCCAGGAACTGAATTCTCAATTCCGTTTTCGGAGTGTTCATTCCAAGTGTATAAACGTATAATTGGAGACCAGGGAGATGGCTCAGCAAGTAAAGGCACTTGCTGTGAAGCTTGATAAACTGACCGCAATCCCAGAAACCCTTTACAATGAAAGCAGAGAACTGACTCCCATGGGATGTCCTCTGACCTCCATAGGCACGTGGTGGCAAGTGCAAGCACACATACACAGTCAATAAATAAATGCAAATATACATAATTGGCATTTGCGTGCTGATCTTGTAGCCATCACCTTTACCGATATTAATACAAATAGTGTATTAGTGGATTCCTTAGGGTTTTCCAAATGCAAGAACCACGTCCTCTGCCAAGGATGGATTGACTTCTCCCTTTCCAAAATCAAGAAAGACAAGCAGCAATCATAGGGGAGGTCTATAACATGGACTTCCTCAAGGAATCAGAAGTGAATTCTGCACCTCTGATGGGCTCCGAGGACCCATCCAGCTTGTTCCCTCCCCCACCCTGGAACTCGGCATGGTTGTCCTTGTTACCATGGTGATAGGCACTCTGTTTGCTCCCATTCTACAAGTCAGGTGTGTGGTAGAGCTGGGAGGTTCGTGCTCCTTCTCAGGGGATTCGGGGCCAATCTCGGGTACCCAGTCAGGAACCATGCCTGTGCACCCCTTGGCCGAGCGCGGCCAGAACTCCCGGGTCGGGGCCCCGGAATGGCGCGAGGCAGTCCAGGCTACGTCTCGCAAGGCACACCTTCTGACCGATCGCTGCGGGCAGGAGGCGGTGACCATGTGGCAGCCCAAGGACAGTGTGCTGGACCCCAGCGTGGCGCACCACCTGGGCTGCGCCGCCTACATGGAGCCCTGGCCCTTCCGCGTGGAGATGCTCAAAGTCGGCGGCGCGGTGGAGAAGCAGCCGCCGGGCGAAGGCGTCACGTCGTGGAAAGGCAAGATGAAGCCGCGGGTCTGGTGCGCGCGCCTCCGCTGCCCGTGTCCCGCGATGCGCACGCCCAGCAGGCCGCCGAGGTGGTGCATGCGCACGCGCGCGGGGCGCGTCTCTCTGCTGCCCGCCTGGGCCATGAGCAGCTTCAGGTCAATGGGCAGCTGCAGCTGCAGCTGCTGCTGCGGCAGCGCGAAGCTAGAGACCGCCGGCTCAGCGAGGTGTGCAGGGGCCTGCTCATCAACCAGCAGAGCGTCAAGCTGCGCGGCTACCGGCCCAAGTCCGAGAAGGTGCGACCCTGTCAGCTCGCACACCTGGAGGCGGGGCCTACCCTCCGGACCTCAGTGCCCCAGCTCCGGAGAGGAGAAGGCACAAGGTAGGACACCCTCCAAGTTCCAAAGTCGGAGACTCCCCCAAAAGTGTGGTGGAATTTGGGGTCACACTGTGCATCTAAGAAGTCCAGTTAGTCGTTGACCCATTGTTATCTCAGCTCTGGTCTCCCAGCAAAGTGGTCTGATAAGCTGCCAGCCCTGTGTGAAATCTGCTCCTTTCCTCTCTGCCTTGCCCAGGTTCAGCTTTTTCCTTCTCCCAGCATGAGCTATGTGGGCTGAATTCTGGTTTCTTGGCGTCTGTTGATAGAGGAAAACTGTTATCCTGGGCCAGGGAGAGAGGGTAAGCCCCTAGTTGACCAGATGAAAATCTTCCCCTAGAGAAAGACCCACAGCTCCGAATCTGAACATCAAATCACCCCCGTCTTCTGTCAGTTTCCCTACACTCACAGGGTGAGAGACCTTGCCTTGGCCTTGAAGCTCTCAATTCCCCAACACCAGCAGGGAAACCCCTCAAGCCCAGCTGAGGAGAGAAGTGACGCTCTGGTTTCAAACCAGATGAACCACAAAAAAGGAAAACAAAAAGCCCAAGCTGTGCAAGCATGAGGACCTGAGTTCGAATCCTCAGCATCCATGTAAAAGCTCATTGGCCTAGAGCCAGCCTAGCACAGACAGCAAGGTTCAGGTTAAGTGAGACTCAAGGCAATAGGGCAGGGAGTAATAGAAGACAACCATATAGAAAACACTAGATAGCCACCTCTGGCCTCTGCATATGAGCATACTAGTGGAGGGGAGGGAGGGAGAGAGAGAGAGAGAATCGCAAGATGGCTCAGCAGGTAAAGGCACTTGCCACCAAGTCTGACAGGTGCAAGGAGAAGACCTACTCCTTCAAGTTGTCCTCTGACCTACACACATACACACACACACACACACACACAAACACACACACATAAATGTAATACATTTTGAAAGAAAGGAAAAAAAGAAAAGCAAAACAACAAGTCTTTCAGCCTCGGGCACCCCCTCCCCAGGTACCCAGTGTGACTTCCAACTCCCAGCCTCTACCCAAAAGTGAAGCCCTCATTCAGGGAAAAGAGGTGAGGCCCCCTAGTCCTAGCCCTGGCAAAGCCCTTCCCTGAAAGGTGAGCAACACCAGCTTTCCCAGAGGAGACATGAGACATTGCACACAAGATGGGATTCCTGCCCCAGCCCTTAGATACAAAGACACTCCCCCCCAAAGGCAAATTATCATCACACAAACAACAAACCCCTCCTTTTCTAGTCAGAAAAGGATAATCACAAAGAAGCATTCCCCAGGCTCTAGAGGAGCCCTCCCCCAAATTAAGTCACCTGCACCTCAGCTCCCTAGGGGGTTCGTGCATAGGCAGCTGTAAAAAGGAAATACTCCCAGACCCAGACCCAGACCCAGTATATAAGCTCTCAGAATGAGAGCTCCTTGAAAAGGTCAAGTGACAGTGAGACCCTCAAAGAGTGACCCTCACTAACTACAAGCTTGGAGTTCACCAGGTAGTGGCGTGCTCTCTACTCCAGGAAGGAAAGATCTCCTCCCTCCAGCCATCTCCTGAGAGTGAGAGCAACTTTCCCTGTTTTTAGATCCTGGACAAAGCTGACAGCATGCTCACCTGGGAGAAGGAGGAGCTGGAATCCATGAAGAGAAAAATGGAGAAAGATATGGAAAAATCAGAGACCTTCGCTCAAGGTTAGGGGCACCTGGAGCAGGATCCTTGATTGCCTAATGCACACTGCCCCGACCCTGTGGACTGGGACAACAGCAGATCCCCTGGCCCCTACTAAACTGACCCTCCCTGCATCTCCGCTTTGCGAAATGGAAACGCTGAGGCCCTGAGAGATAGAGCTGGGCCTCAGAACAACAGGGTCCAAACCCATGCAATCTTTGAATTAACTCCTTAAAACCTACTGTCAGGACCGGCAAGATAGCTGGCTGCTCAGTGGGTAAAAGCACTTGCTGCCAAGCCTAATGACCTCAGTTCAATCCCTGGGTCCCACATGGAGGAAAGAAAGAACCAATTCTTGTAAGTTGTTCTCTGACCTCCACCTGCATGCTGTGACATGTACATGTGCATACGCCCACATAAATAATAAAATTTCTGGAAAAAACAATTCTGCTATGAGACAGAAACTATAATACCCCTAATTAGAGATGGGAAAACTGAGACTCAGAGGGTGATGATGTCACCTATGACACAGAGCCAGCCAGGTATGGAATATAACTAACACATCAAGTTTTTGTTCCTTACTGTCCTATGACCCAAACACATGGTCATCAGCAAAAGGAACCTCTCGTATTTTTCCTTTTTCTTCATTGACCCTCTGTATCCACAGGATCCACATACCCAGCATCAATCAACATCACAAAAAAGTGGTGTCTGTATTAACCATGGACTGACTAAATATTTAACTACTTTAGTCTGGCAAGAAGGCTCAGTGGGTAAGAGTGTTTGGACCAAGCCTGACCCAAGTTCAACCCCCAGGACCACATGGCAGGACAGAACTGACTCCCACAAACTGTGTTCTGACCTGACCTCCACACTTGTATTATGGCACACATGTGCACACACATACACACACACACACACACACACACACACACACACACACACACTAAATCACTAAATGTAACATGCCAACTTTTACATTGGAGCTATTTTACATTTTTATTTTTATTTTATGTGTATGAGTGTTTTCCCTGCATGCATGTAAGTGCACCTGTGTTGTGCAATGCCTGTGGGGGCCAGAAGAGGGCATCCAACCCCCTGGAACTGGAGTTCACTGATGGTTGTTAGCCACAGTTGGGGTGCTGGGAATTGAACCCTCGTCTTCTGCAAGAGCAGCCAGTGTTCTTAACTGATGAGCCATCTCTCCAGTCCTCCCCTGCAGCCCCATTTTTGGTGTTGTAGCTGTTGGAAAGTTGCCCACACTCATTTAAAAACAACTCTAATGAAACTTAACTCAAAGAAAGATGTGAAAGCTAGTTGGGAAGATGAGGGGGATTATAATGAGGAGCAGGGAGGCAGAACAAGGGCGGGTAAGTGGAGTGAACATGATCAGAGTACAGAACATGCATAGAATATACCCACGTAGGAAAATGCCATCATGAAATCCATTGTGTATAATTAATACATGCTAATAAATCCATTAAAAAAACCAGTACATCAAAACTAAGTAGATAGCCCTCTTCTCTTCAAAACTCTGGATAATTCCCCATTCCTCTGGTCAGCTACCAACAGGAACTGGATCTGACCACTGTGTCTTCATTAGCTGAGCACAGAACCCTGCACCAGCTGGCACATTGCAGCACACAGTAGAGGCTTGACAAGTACTGGATTCACATAGGGAGAAGTCTTTTTTTTTTTTAAGCTTTATTGTGTCATTCAGATCATGTTACTATTCCTCAGCCTTTTGAGTGCTGGAATGTTCAGGTTTTTATTGAACTTTTGTGTATTTCATACAGAACATCTCAACCAATCTTAATTATCTTTATACCCCCTTTCCCACTGGCACCTTCCCATAGCCCTCCCACTGGAAGTCATACATTCTGTCATTTGCATGTGTCTTGTGCATGCTGATAGCACTACTGTAGGTTCATATGAACAGGATCCCCAGAGCTTGTAGGACTCTATTTACATATGGTCATGGACCTTCTCCCTGGCTCTTCCAATCTTTCTGCCTCTCTTCTGCAACAGTCCCTGAACCCTGGGAGAGTGGAGTTTGATATAGTTGTCCAAGGACCCACACTCTGTAGACTCTTATTCTCTACTCTTTGGTCATTTGTGACCTTTTGTGTTCCTGGCTCTATGTTGCATGACCGAGCTTCATTAATGAAATCTGAGCTTCATTAATGAGAATTGAGATATTTATTAGTGTCCTCTTTACCCTTTATTCTATGTTCCATGAGGCTTAGGTGTAGAGGTTGCATTGTAAATGCACCACTTAGGTTTGGGCAATTCACAGACGATGTCTGTGTGTGACCAGTTGCAGTACTCTTTAATAGGCTCCATCTGGTGCAAAAGAAGCTTCTTTGATGAGTGGCGACTGGGATATTTTTCAGGGTAGAAGGCTGGTATCAGGGGTTCAAAGGCAATTTGGGACTGAGACAGCCTGTGAAGGCTCCAAAAACTAGACTGAAAAATTGAGCTGGTCTGAGTGCAGGGGTTCAGGATACAGTGGGCGGGTCTGGACTAAGAGGGTAGTCCAGAGATCTGGGGTGCTAAGAGAAAAAGCAGGCCTGTGCCCAAGGCTGGAAGGAGAACAGGATATAGGGTCAGGGAGATTGGAGTTACTCAGGTTGTAGGGGAGTCAAGTGCAGTCAGAAGCCTTTTTTTAAAAAAGGCTTGAATCTACTGTGCTATATCACAAGATCTTTTTAAGGTTTATTTTTATTAGTTTTAATTCTGAAGGGGTGGAAAACAGCTAAGTGCAGATCCCCATGAAGGTGGAGTTACAGATGGCTGTGAGCTGCCTGACATAGGTGTTTGGAACCAAACTTGTGTCCTCTGCAAGAGCAGTATGGTCTTTTAATGACTGAGCCATATCTCCAGTCCCCAAGATCTTTTTTTAAAAACTATTTTATTTTGAGACAGGGGCTTACTATGTAGCTTGGACTGGCCTCAAACTCATAGCCCTCCTGCCTCAGTATCCCAAGAACCTAGAATTGATTATAGGCATGCACCACCATGTCTGGCTTGCTTTTTAGAACAATTTAATTAACCAAATGTATGACTCTCAGAGATACTCCCTTCAGGGAATGGAGCAGGACATAAAGAATATTCACTGTTTTATGAACAAAAGTTCCCAGAAAAAAGCACACATCTTCGAACTGCCCCTTCTCCAAGCTAATCAACTGACTAGAACTTCAATGACTGTGGAGTCTGGAATGTGTGAGGTTGAATGCCTAATTACAGGTTTTTTTGGACCATCTTTAGCCCCCTAAAGAGCCATTCCTTGCACACCTCTGTGTCTGACCTAACGTCCTGTGACTAACATATAAAAACCTTTGGGAATGCATTAACTAATAAAAACCCTAGTTTCCACCAACCTAAAGGCTGTCATCAGATAGCATCTAAGACCTATTGCTGAAAGTTCTCCACTGTGTTATACACACCTACTTAATGTTCCTGTCAGTGTATTTGCAAAGTGCCTTGATTTATGACTTTCTTTGTCTGTTACTATAAAAACTTAAGGATACTGCTTCCATGTTGGAACATGGAATGTTTGGAGTGATGACCTAAATTTGTATTCCTGGGCCATGGTCACTCAGCATAAATTATCCCCTTTAAGGTAAGAGCTGTGTTTTTTGCATCAGACAGTATAATCCCGCTTATGTGGAGTTCAGTAGGCTTTTACCACTTTTTAAATTTTTATTTTCATTTCTGTATATGTGTGTGTTTGTGTGAGTGTATGTGCATTATGTGCATACTGGTGCCCACTAAGGCCAGAAGAGGGCATCATCTCCCTTGGAACTGGAGCTACCCAGCCCCTTATTTTTTAAAAATTGCATTTATTTATATCTCTGTGTGTGTGTGTGTGTGTGTGTGTGTGTGTGTGTGTGTGTGTGTGTGTGTAGTCACAGCACACATGTGGAGGTCAGAGGACAACTTGTGGGAGTCAGTTCTCTCCTTCTACCATGTGAGTTCTGGGGATCAAACTCAGGTCATCAGGCTTGGCTGAAGACACCTTTTCAGTGCTATAAAAAAATCAGTCAGAGCCAGTGCACCCAGGAATGGCCATATCCCTATGTCCCAATTTAAAAAACAAAAAATTAAAACAGGCCACTAGTCCATAAGCTACAGTTTGCCAACCCAATGAACACACAAGACTATCAGTCAGGTTCTGAAGACAGGGTAGAGGAACCTGGGAAATGTATTGGGTTACTGAAAGACTATACAGCATCAATCAGGAAAGGTGTTTACATGGATATACTATACATATGCAAAAAGACTTCTGTTTTGATGATGTTGGGTCTCAAAGTAAAAGGCTGAGTCCCATCTCAAACCCTGTGTGGCCCTTGAATCAATTGCTTAAAATTCCCCAGTAGGATTTGGCATCAGATTTGGCACTTGCCTGAGCAAAGCCTAGGTTCCATTCCTAACAAAGCACAGGTAAAGAGGAGGCAAGTTTGTGTCCCAGATGTCCTGTGGTGTAAATCCATCCATTGGGGCCTAGTTAAGATATCTAGCTCACTCCCTTAAGGAAAACTAACTCTCTCCCAGTAGTTATCAGTTGCCAATAGATCTTCAACTAAGGTTGGGGCTTCTTACCCATTTCTCTGGTTCTGTGTTGGGATTTTGTCTGATCTGCCAAAACCAGCTTGAGTGGGTCTTGTGCATGCTGTCACCATTACTATAAGTTCATAGAAGGAATTTCTCAGCTGTCTTGAAAACTCTGTTTCCTTTTGGTCATCAACTACCCCTGGCTCACAGTTTTGTTTTGTTTTTGCCCCATCTTCTGCAATGGTCCCTCAGCCTTGGGTGGCAGAGGTTTAATATAGGTGTCCTACTCAGGGACATGCACTCTGCAGTCTCTTATTCTCTGCAGTTGAGCCAGTCGTGGCTTTCTGGGTTAGTCACCATCTCTTGCATGAGGAAGCTTCTCTGATGAGAGTTGAGAGATGCATTAATATTCTTTCTGCCTCTTGTTCTGCTATGTTACCTGAGCTGTAGGTATAGATGCTGTATTGTAGATGTGTCACTTAAGACTGGGCTTCTCACAGACACTTATTCTCTGCATTTGACCAGTTGTGGAACTCTGTAATAGTCTCCATATGTTGCAAAAAGAAGCTTTTTTTAATGAGTAAAAATAAAGATGCATATTTAGGATACAGTAAGAAATTATGTTGGTCCAGGGATGTGACAAAAATAGGTTTTTCTGTAGGATCTATGACCTCTATAGTCATGTGTATTTGGCTATGTTTACAGTGCTGAAAACCAATGGGGGGTTGGGGGTGGTTCCAGATAGGTTAAGGAGTATACATATGATCAAGATGTATTGTACGAAATTTGAAAAAAAGTCAATTAAAGTAAAGAGGTGGAAGAGGGGGAGGAGAAGAATAGGATGACAGGGACGGGGACGAGGAGAGGAGAGAGTAGAAGCTAGGGAGTGCAGCTAGACACCTTAAATAGACCACTGTTATTTATTAATTACACTTCAATAGGGAAAAATAAAGTGCAAACCTGAAAATTTAAATATTCTCATAACAAGAAATATGTAAGGTACAGAAATACACATTAACTTGATGTAATCATTCTACAATGTATACATGTACCCAAACATTTCATTATACCCCAAGAGTATATGCAATCACTACTTTGTCAATTGAAATAAAAACTTTAAAAAAACTCAGATGGATCTTGGAGAGTGGTGTGATAATAGGCTAGAGAGATTTAAAAAGACAATCTTTTCATGAAACATGGACATGGCCTTTTGCTGTCATATTTTTGAGCCAGAATATCTCAGCCTGGCTTGGAACCCCTGCCTTAGTTCCTCAAGTGGGGGGCTTAGAGGTGTGTGCCACCCCATCCAGGAATGTGTCATTTTAAAACTTTTGTTTTCCTTTACACTAAGAGAGAGAGAGAGAGAGAGAGAGAGAGAGAGAGAGAGAGAGAGAGAGTGATAATTTCTGGGAGCTGGTTCTCTCCTTCCATCATGTGGATTGAATTCTGGCTGCCAAGCTAGCAAGCATCTTTACCAACTGAGCCAACTCACTGGATCCCATGTCATTCTTTAAAGAGCTCTCCTGAAAGTGAGTATTTCTCTGGAACTTTGGGGGTAAAATTTAATTTAAAAGCAGTTCCACCAGACTTAGACCACAAGCTCCAGACCATCTTGACCACCTACAGAGATCACCTCAAGAAAACGTTTTTCCATAAAAACCCCTTACAAGCAGCAAAAAGGGGGAGTAGCAGGAAAAACCTGGGGTGTAGGCCCTGGTGCTTCATATGCGCAAAGCCAAGGGTTCCTAGAAACCACCACACACACACACACACACACACACACACACACACACACACACACAAAGTTGGAGGTCAGTTTGGAGGTGGAAGTGCTGTCATGGGTTCAGCAGCCTCCCCAGACAGACCTACTGACTTACTCTTGGCTTTCTTTTTCTGTGGCCTCAGGCTCTAGCCTCCTGCAGAGACACTCTGGGCTTCTACTGTCAAGAAAGGCTCCAAGCGGTGGACCTCATAAACCAGCCACTGGACAAGGTTCTGGAGCAGGCTGGCAGACACTGGTGGGTGGACATCACCCGACCCCCCACTCCTCGTACTCAGGGCCAGAAAACGCCTCCTCCCCCTGACCCTGTGGGCACCTATACCCCAGGTAGGCCCCACAAGAAGGTGGCTGCTAGTGCTGTTATCAAACTTGGGGTTCACAGCCTATGCCCCAAGCCAGGTTCAGCCACCCTGTCCTCAATAAAGCAATTAAAAGAACCAAATTAAGAGTGGAAAGTAGAAAAAGGAGACTTACTCGGTGTGGTCACATTGGGAAGAGGGACAAAGAGATCCAATGACCCCCTTAAGTTTATCTTCAGGGTCTGGAAACAAGATTAAAATTTAAATAGAGGCCAGGGGTATGCACATATGCACATGGAAGTATCTCAGTGAAGTGTTGTCTGGTCCACCACTGACCCATCATACTTCAGTCTCAACCTGTAAGGACAACTACAGGTTGTTAAAACTGTGTGAAAACTCCTTTCAGAAGACAAACCCAGCATGAGAGTTCTGGGGAAACTTCCCATCTCTCTGGGGGCTGCAGTTCCATACTCTGATAGACTGAGGCACACTGTGTCTCTTTAGAATGCCTCGGTTTCTGCCAGAGCGGTTATTGAACAGTGCCTACTTAGTTGTCCTTTAAGTACAATCTTGCTAGGCCTCTATCCTTGGACACTTCTGACCACATGCATTCACTCACAGATTCTGTTTCTAAAGAAACGAATTCAAGATAAATTAAAAGCCCTTCCCGGGCTTTCTCTTCGTCCTTTGATAAAGCCCCTCACCCACGGCCATCCATGCCCAGAGCGAGGAGGAGGGAGGGCAAGGGGGGTGGGGGAGTGAGAGAGGAGAGGGGTCAGAGGGGGGAAAAGATGAGGGGGGTAGAATGGGAAGAGAGAAGAAGTGGCTCCCTCCCCGACATGTGCATTCGGTGCGTTCCCAGCGTGCGCGGAGGCATTATACGAAGCCAAGCGCTTGTTTATGGGAGTCCAAAGACACCCTGGCAGAGATCGCAAAGAATGAGCTGGACATTGAGAAACAACAACAGCAGATCAGCGACCGCGTGTGCGCCTCCCTGGCGCAGAAGATGCATGAGACCTTGGAGTTGAAGGTGCGCGCATTACGGGCTCAGCTCAACTAGAAAGTGGCTGCTACTGGCGTGGGTGGGAAAGGAGGGGACAAAGGGCCAGTGTGAATCCCCTGTGCTCCCCCATCTCCAGGAAAGAATAAACATGACTTTAGGACTAATGAGGGGAACTATCCACCGGTACCAGAAATTCAATCAAGAGATGTCCGTCACCCGTGGCCTCATCAAGGTAAGGTTTGAGGGAAGGGAGCCAGAGGGGGCTGAGCAGGGTGGGTCTCACTGCTCCCATGCCACACTCTGCCAGGGTCCTCTGTTGAAAAGTCACCTGGAGGCTGGAGAGAAACTGAACAGACCCCTGGTTCGCACGTACTAGAGACACGTGGGCACTCAGCTTCCCGAGGCTACACGCCTTGCCCAGGTATGCCCCCTTCGTGCCTTTGCTCTTTTGCGCCACGCCCTGGTAATTCTCCTTCCCCAGGCACACCAGACCAGGTTAAGACTCTGGGTCTGCATTTGCATCTGCGTCCATGGGCCTTTCAGACCTACAGCCAGGTCAAACCCTGTCGTTCGGCCACGCCCCTTCACATGGCCCTACCTCAGCCTGCCTCTGGAGCTCCTGCAGACCGACACCCCATCAGATGTGTTCCGCCATGCCTGGCTCATCCTGCTCTTAGGACATCCCTTCCCTCAGCCATCACAAGCCTGGGTTCTTTTTCACGCAAATCTAGTACAGCTTTCTTCCTCGGCCCCCTGAAGCTGAGATCCACCTCCTCGGTGGTGCTTCTTCGCAAGTGGACCCTTTCACTAGCACACCTGGCCCAAAAGAGACATCAGCGCGCTCCCGCACGCACACGCGCACATGCACACACGCACGCGCGCAGACGCGCGCGCGCACACACACACACACGCACACACGCGCGCACAGGAAGTCTGTCCGTCTTCAAGTCTACTCTCCAACACATGCCTGCTCCAGTAGCGCCTGTTCTGGGCTTGGCTATCAGTTCTCCAGCTGTCCCTACCTCTCCCCAAGACCCCGTCCCTCCACCACACAACCCTGCCCCTGTCGGTGGGACATCCCTCCCCACCAAGGGCCATGCTCCCTTGCATGGACCTACCCCTCCCCACCTCAAATCCGCCCCTCTCAGCACAGCCTTGCCTCTCCCCAACAAGACCCTGCCCCTCCCCAGCAAGATTCCTGCCCCCTCGTCAGCACGACCCTGCCCCCTCTCCAGGGCACTAACAAGCTGACAGGCCACAACTTGCACGTGGAAAAGAACTTGGCGGAGCTGCGCAGCACTCACGATAACCTCGCCTGGAACTTCAACTGCAAGAAGGTTGGACATGATGTGGACTCCGACGTGGTGCGCCTGTGCCTACGCCAGCGGCACCCACACGTCTGCTATGAGCAGGCTCAGCTTCTGGTCAATGACTAGGACCCGCGCACACCACCATGCAGCCAAACCAGTGCCTCCCCTAAGTGATGGCAGCCGATTTGTCCTTGGGCTTGAGTGCTTGTCCTTGGGTTTTGGCGGCTGGAGAGGATGCTCCCAACTGCATGGCCTTCCCTCCCCAGACCGACCTTCCTCCAGGTGCTGTCTAGCAGAGTTATAATAAAAACATTGTCATTTACTGGGTATCCTGCAATTCCTGATGTCTCCCGGAGTTAACAGGATGGATTTAGTGTCAAAAATTGTTGGGATTCAAATCTCAAGCTCCTGATTTCAAGCTGTGTGGTTCTTTTCTGAACTGCCTCTCCAGCCTGTAAAATGAGGGCTACTAAAACACCATTTCAAATGGTTGTGGCAAGAATAGACACATGTATTGGTAAGTCAGTAGCATAGTTTAAACAGAAACATACGATGTTATTAGCAGTGCATTTTACAGTAGAGGAAACTGAGACACAGAGAAGTTAGGCTGCTTGCCCAGGGTCACAGAGTACATAGCAAAACTGGGCCCTTCATTCATGGCCATAGAGCCTGCACACTTAGCAGAACTCCTCGGACCTCTGTTCTTGCCCTTTCAGAAAGTACCAGCCCCTGAACCAGGTAGATGGCAGCAGTGAGCAAAGCAGGTATGGTTGCTGTCCTCGCTGGCTACAGATTGATTGCAGCTGGTGGTGGTGTTTTGAGTGAGGCTCAGGTGGCCTGCAGGAAGCCTGCCCTGCTTGCACCTGGCCATGGCTCAGTTCCTCCTGTGTACTCTGGGAACCTCTTACACATCAGCATGGGACTCTCCATGCAGAGCTATGCCTGCTATCTGCTCTCCCTAGAAGATGCCAGGGCATGGGGTTCACAGAAAACACTGGGCCCTCTGTATCCACAGATCTGCATTCACTGGTTGAAACATGTTGGGCACTTTCTCCAGCCAATCAAGACAGTAGCAAGGAAGCACACACAACATAAGGGAAATTTTTTAAGATTTATTTTTATGATTTTTAATTATGTGTATTTTTGTGTAACTCTGTGTGTACATGTGAGGTCAGGTGCTCGTGGAGTCTGGCGTCACGTTCCCTAGAACTGGAGTTTCAGGCAGTTGGGAGCTGATCCACATGGGTGCTGGGACATTAAACTCATGTCTTCTGTAAGAGCAGTACACACTCCTAACCATGGAGCCATCTCCAGCCCCAGCCTGAGAGAATTTAACAGAGACATGAGGGTCAAGCCTCACCAATCACATATCCCATATTTGTGCATTCCCTTGTTCACTGAGAAAAACTTGAGACTACCAGATCAATACTTGTGCAACACCTGTGCTGGTCTGCAGACATTGACAGCAAAGACTTTCAGACATTCTGACACACAGGTTTCCCTGGTGGGATGAAGCCCCAATGTGGTGAAACCCTAGGTTGTGAAACACTGTCAGGTAGAGCCCTGGTGGGGTGAAGCGAGGTGAAGTGAGGCAAGGCACTGCCTTCCTGCTTCACTGTACTGCACTCACTTGCCACTTGTACTGGAAACAAGTGTCCCCTTGGAAATCTATTTAAAGGCCTTAGTTTTGCTTTTTTTTTATATATGCTTTTGGTTGGTGGTTTTGCAGGGTCAAATGCTCTCCAGAGCAATGCTGAAATAAATACTAAGGTCCCTAAGCACAAGAAGGCTGTGATGTGCCTCAGAGGAAAAGTATGCTGCCAGATGTGGTAGCTCAGGCAGGAAGATTAGTTCAGATTCATTCTCAGCTACACAGTAAGTTCAAGGCCAGCCTGGGAAACATGAGACCCTCTCTCAAAAAGAAAAAAAAGAGGCTGGGCTAAAGACATTTATAACCACCTCCTCTAAGGCTCAGAAAACACTGAGAAAGAGGGGGTAGAATGTAAGAGTCAGAAGAGAGGGAGAACGGCTGCAAATGCCACCTTCTGGCCAAGACAGCTGCAATCATGGACTTGTGCGAGCTGCAGCGCCACCTCACGAGGGTCTTCACGAGACCACTGTGTTGAGGCTCAGATGGGCGAGGGGCTCGAGAGCACTGGCCCTCCCCACTGAAGTACTGGTTGCTTATAGGCTCATAAAGAAGGAGACTCAGTGTCTTAAATTGCAGCTCACTGAGGAACCCACCAGGGTCTGGTGGATAGTTCTAATCCAACAGTCACACATATAGCCCTGGTTAAACTCAATGTGTTTGTACAAAACAAAAAGACATGATTCTGAGAACGGGACCTGTAGGGAGGAAGGGGCTTGATAGACATGGCAGAGAGATAAGAGAGAGTATGGGGAAAGAAAAATCAGAATGCAATGTGTACATGTATGAAAATGTCAAACAACAAACTTAAAAATGAGGGGAGGGCTGGCAGTAAGTCTTATTAAAGTGAGGATCTACATTTAGATTCCCAACATCAACTTAAAAGCCAGGCCTGACAGTTCTTCTTTGTAACCTCAGAGCTGGACAGCTGCGACATGGATCTCTGCAGAATGCAGGCCAGCCAGTCTAACCAATCAACTCCAGGTTCCCTGAGGGAGACTGTCTCAAAAAATAGGAGAATTACTGAGGAAAACACCTAATGTCAAACTCTGGCCTCCACATACATATGCACCATATGGACACATGCACAAATATACATACACAATACCACATACACATACAGAACACATGTACATATACATAGACTACATCACACATACACACATACACTAAATCACATACCACCAACATACAGAACACACATGCACTACACCATGCACACGCCAAAAAAAAATCCCCACTCATGTTAAATAAGCATCACATTTACCATCACATACATCAAGGATGTACACATGATACACAAACTGCCTTTAAACAGAGCACAAACAAGACTATGCATTGATCATTTGATAAAAGTGTGATCAGAGACCACAGGAACCTAACCTTGCGTTTTTGGAAGAAGTGTCATCCAAGATTCACTGATTTGGTGTTCTTGGGGGCTTTCTAAAACACAGCTTCAGTGACTAAGATCTGACTATATTTACAAAGACGGAGATTGTGTAGAAAAATCTCAGATGATAATACAGTACAAATCTGCTATTAATTGTGGGAGGTTTTTGCCATAGGTGGGTTGGGAGAGACCTCACAAAAGAAGCTGTAAGGAAACGCCTCAGGGTGGACTCCCCTGGCTGATCTTCCCTGTTGGCCACTTAGATATTTTTTAATCTACTCAGGTCCTTTCCTGGATGCACATCTGCCCACTATTCCCAGAAACCAGCCATGTGGATGCTAAATGTTTTGTAAGTGATGCCTTGCCCTGTAGGCTGCAGCCTGCCACCCTCATCCTGACTGACAGCTTCAGTTGTCACCTCACCTTATACAATGTTCTCAGGCAGCATTTGCACAATCCCCACCATTACCTCAGAGCCAGTGTGTCAGCTGCTTCCCCAGGGGTGAGTGAATTCTGGGTACTCTGGAAGTCTCTCTCCAGGACACCATAAGGTGGTGTCATATAGAGATGAATGAATAAGTTGGGGACAGCAACAAGATTCAGCTATACCACTCAGCAAGTACAGGGCTCAGTCTGAATTGTGAAAGACCAGCTACAAAAACATGGGAACAAGAGTTGGCAAGCAGGATTATGTCAATGAAAAGGCCTCAGCACAGCAAAGGAAGTGATCAGCAGAGAGCAGAGGCAGCCTGCAGGCTGGGAGAGCATGTTACCTGACAGAGGAATGGGCTACTGTCCAGAGTACACATGAACCCAAAGATCTTAACTCAAAATGGATGACTTGGGAAGTGACTTGAACAGATACTCCTCAACAAAAGAAATACAAATGGCTGACAAATACATGAAAATGCCCCGTGTTCTTAGCAGCCAGGCCTGATGGCCTGAGTTCAGTCCCTGGGACCCACATGGTGGCATGCTCACACATATCCACACTCACGATTTTTTAAAATAAAAATATGTTAAAAATAACAAATGCTGACTACTATCCTCAGGCCTCTTGGGGTAAGTCTATAGCGCAGCTCTCCGCGCGGGGCCTCCCTAAGCCACATTCCCCCTCCCACCCCCCCCGCCGTTCTATACTCCTAGTTTGGGCCCTGCGCCATTCCTAGTCTTGGGGCCCCAGACACCTGGGGAACCAATACTGCTTCCTGATCCTTCTCACCCAGACCAACTCAGTCCCTTTCTTGGGCCCCAGGAGCACTGCTTCTGGTCCTGGCCCCGCCCTCACCTCTCTCTGCTTCCCTGGGCCTGCAACACGGGCTACCACTCCTAGCCTGCACTAATATCCTCAGGCCTCTTGGGGTAAGTCTACAGCGCAGCTCTCCAAGCCGGAACTCCCTAAGCCACGTTCACCCTTCCATCCCTCCCGCCGTTCTATACTCCTAGTTTGGGCCCTGTGCCATTCCTAGTCTTGGGGCCCCAGACACCTGGGGAACCAATACTGCTTCCTGATCCTTCTCACCCAGAGCAACTCAGTGCCTTTCTTGGGCCCCTGGAGCACCGCTTCTGGTCCTGGCCCCGCCCTCACCTCCCTCTACTTCCCTGGTCCTGCAACACCCGCCAGCCTCTTTCTGGGGTTGACAGCCTCTTTCTGGGGCTCCGAGGCTTACCTTTACTCTCCCTGATCCTTTGCATCCAGTACAACCCAGCTACCCAATCCACTCCCTGGGAAATCTTGGGGCTTTTTCCAGCCCCATCTGCCTTTGCATCCCTTCGTGGCACAGCCGCGGCCAGGGTCTCAGGTCAGTCCAACACCCAAGTTCCTGAGGCCAAAAGCATTCTTAGAAGATTCCAGACCTAAGGAGAAAGTCTGAAAACTTCTGATCCACATTGGAGTTGGGCCACCGCGGAACTCCTGAAGATAAAATCAATCCTGCCACGACAATATAAAATCAAAAGAGAGAACCAGAAGCTAAGACGAACCAGCTCTTCATACCCAAAAAGTAAACCACAAAGACACATAAAGCTCAAAAATAAAAGAAGCAGAACTAAACTTGAAGGCCCGAGTATCACACAAGAGTCAGAAACTACAAAAGAAATTCACATGTCAAAATCACAGAGAAAAAATAATAACATGAAAAACCAAAATAAAATATCCCCACCAAATACCAGTAATCCTCTAGAGGAGCACAATGAGAATCCTCTAGAGACAATGCAGGACATGGATCTCAAAAGAACAATGATGAATATGATAAAAGAATTCACTGA